TATAAAATGGATGGACGGATTGGTGTGGTCATGGTAACCTTGCTTACTCCCTCTCACCAACTTTTCTCATGAGAACACTCAGGAGAGAAAAGAAAAACATTTCCAAGTCTTAATTTGCAGCCCAAGAAAAGCACGGAGAATTTCAGATGAAGACATTTCCCTCACTGATTCGCCTCTTTTGAGCAGTGCACAGACATGAGAACATCATCCGTCTCTCCACGTCACTCTCGGCTGGTGGTTGCTGCAGATAACACGACTGAAAAGTGTTGCTGTCTGCATGCGACACCCCGCGCACCTCAGTGACTCTGTCCTCCATCCCTCTTCATGTTTTTTATATATATATATATATGCCAACATGAGAGGGAAGCACATGATATTGTGGGTATAAGTGTGTGTCTTAGTTGTAATCCATAGTCATGCTCAGTCCCAGGACTCTCTGAGACAACCTTGGCATCGTGCCTTATGCTTGGTACCTCTGGCTGCCAAATTGATGCAAGTATAATGAAGAGTCCGTCGGCATAGGTGACACAATTAGCTGTTGGGGGGCCACAGGGGCCACTTGGCGCAGCTCCCTGATTCTCTTCTGGGAAAATGGGTCATTCTGAGTCTTCTGAGTGACAGGCAGCCAGTGGCCAACGAACATCGAGGGTGATGCCAGCCGAAGGCTCGGTGATTCCTTTTGAAAATTGGCAAAGCGTGGTCACATGGTCTTTTCACATGGTCTTTTCCTAAGGAGTATATTTGGGAATTTAAGTGGCCTCACGATGAGACAACTGGCAAACACTACACACTGTGTTAACCTTCCTGTTGTGTTCCCAGGTCAAATTGATTAAAAACAAACAAACACATTAAAAAAAAAAACATTATTCATCTATTTTGATGTATTATTTTATAAAGTACAATATTTTAGCTATCACCATATTTTGAAAAAAATATTTACAAAATCTTTTGTTCGGCGTTTCCGGGAGGCAGGAACGGATGGCTGGCATTTCAATTCATATAAATGGGGAAAAGATCATTTGAGATATGAATGTGGCCATAATAATAAATTAAACTCCTATCTCAAGGCAGCACTGTACTGTATCAGGTTAAAAGCCACCTTATTTATCTTTGTTTGACCTTCACGTGAAAAGTTCAATATGAATTGCATTTATTTCTTTTGCTGTCTTAGAACATTAAAAACATGCAATCTTTACAATATTATCTTGCACGCTACATAGAGTAAAGCTTCACGATAACCTACTAGGAAAGATTCATGTATCATCTTCCAGAATGACAGGGAAATAAAATGAATCTGTAGATGGGGACGATGGGAAAGTCAGGAATCGCTTTGGAGTGGTCGCTATGCCATCCCATCTATCTAACTGTCAGCTTTTGTCCTGTCCATCACTCTCACCTGCTCCATCACTGCATCGATGTGACAGAAGCAACCACCGCCCAATGCGCACGCAGGCACACCCACACACACACACACACACACACACACACACACACACACACACACACACACACACACACACACACACACAAAATCTCAAGATTGTAATTTTAGCACAGCTGTTGTTTTTGTCTGCAGTAGAATTGCCACCTCACTAACTCCTCGAGAGCCCCACCACTCAATTGAGGCCACACTCTCATCTGAATGAGTTTATGCACTGACTGTGGCTCTAAATGGAAGATAAGAGTGCTCTGTTTTGTAGAAAATATGACAAAAAGGTACAGTATTAAAAAGCGAAACTAGTTATCTCAGTTTTGGAACGCCATTGATTGGCTTTTAGATGCAATAAACATGGTACTGGTTTTGACAATAAGCCTCAGCAAATAAAAGTTTAATTTTCAATAAAAGTATGTTTGAATCTGGCTGATTTAACTGGAAGATTATAATGTGGTGGACAACAGTTTTCGGCATCTGCCGACCTAACCAACCGACCATCTAACTAATGAACAAACAAATGTAACTAACGCTTTAATTATGACTGAAGATAAAGATCTCTCCTAAAAAGTTAAAATCCAATTATATCCAATAAAGGGGAACCTGTTAATAAGAAAAACATGTGAGTGCCAAATGGTGGTATCGAAGTCATGGTGGCAAATAGTTGCCATAGTAACCACCTAAACTCCAGAGACCTGACCCCCCTCACATCCACTTAACAATCCCCAGATGTCTAATTGTTTCCCTAATGATGCTGAGCCTAATGGGACTGTTTATGGTGTGCATTTTATAGCGCTGGCCCAGTAATTAGACTGCACGCACTTCATTAAACAGCATGAAGCGGATGGCACACACATTTATCTGTCCATGGTGCTGAGCTTTGTGAATCATGCACACACATGCGGGCATGGTGCCTCTGTCCATGGTGTTGAAACAACAAGGGCCTCACTTTGAACTTTCCAAGCCATTGCTGCGACTTATAAGCAAACGCTTGGCACGCGAATGTGCATGCGAATACGTAACCTGCATCATTTAATTCCAGTTCATTCATCATTAACATTCAAACAAGATGCTTTATTAGAAGTTATGGTTATGCAATCAAATTATTTGTGGAGCACTTTTTACACAGACAATTCTGAAAACAAAATAAATCAATCTTCCAATCTCTGCATGGAATACTTCAACGGTTCTTGCCATCATCTTTAAATCCCAAATGATATTTCATCAAATGCAGTGGGATCTTGTTGAAGGAGAATAATTTGGGCCCTGTCAATACAAAGCAGTCATACCATAAGTCAGTCCTTCTCCAATAGTGGGGCGCACCCTCCTGGGGGCATGGTGCAATGCCAGGGGGCGCATGTGACTCTGGCTGGCAACCAGTTCAGGGTGTCCCCTGACTACTGCCCGAAGACAGCTGGGATAGACTCAAGCACGCCCCGCGATCCAATCGCAGGGCACGCACAGACGAACAACCATTGGCACTCACAATCACACTTAGGGACAAATTAGAGTGTTCCATTAACCTGCCGTGTTTTTGGAATGTGGCAGAAAACTGGAGTACCTGGAGAAAACCCATGCAGGCACGGAATCGAACCCTGTACTTCTGCACTGTGAGGCTTTAATACATTTCTTTTGCTGACATAAATTCAAAGTAGTGACGGCATCTACAGCTTGAAAACCCGAATCTTTCTCCTTCCTTTGTTATTTTTTTGTGGGGCTGAAACGTGACATGGCGCATATGTGACACCGCTCCCCCAGACGGGAATGCAAATTGTCAAGTCCAGGAATGCTTCAAGCTTCAAACTTCATGATCCTTTCTTATGTGTTATATAATGTATAACTGTTAGTTGTCTTTTTCTGGGAATGGTGTCTCTTCCTGTATTTTATTATTTGTTAATTATTAGTTTGGTTCCATGTTCACACGAGGGAAAACAGGGGTAGAAAAATGTGTGATTCCTATTCAAGTATTGTCAATTGTCACGCACTGCTACGCCCAAGGGGCAGTTAATGGCATCACTACATGATAGTGAATGGTCGGTGACAATGTGGTTTCTGTGAACTGCTTGTCGTCATTGTTAATTGCTATCCAATAACAAACCGTAACCTTGCAAAGTAACTGTAGTACCTGACTGAGAAAAGTAACGTGTCTAACATGTTACCAGCATCACTGAGCCCAGCCCAAAGTGCCACTGAATATTCTTTTTGGGGAATGCTAAAGTTCCGGAAATGAACAGGCTCAATGATATGGACATTCGGCCATAAGGTACTTTGCAGAATGACCATTTATCAACTCGTTAAATAACGCAGTGCCCTTACATGCGCTTTATCTATATGCATGTGGGATGTAGAGGTGATTTTCCCCGTTTCTCTTGCCAATGTGCTGTCACGTTTCTATTTGTCGCTCTGCCTGGTTCTGAAACCTCTAAGCCAGACCTGGGCAAATTACGGCCCGCGGGCCGGATCCGGCCCGTTGGTCTTTTTAATCCGGCCCGGTAGTTGGTACAGTACACAATTAAGGTTCGATGTAAATGATTGCATTCATTTCATTTGGACGTGTAATGACAGGCATTTCAACGCCAGGTGGCGGAGTTACTTGAAGTTGGAGAGCACAGGGAGGGAGAGGAAGACGATACGGAAGCCCGCAGTCGCGCTCACTCAAGTAACTCCGCTCGATACGACGGAATAAGTGTGTCTGCGGCGCAATTTACAATCATTGGATTCAAAACGACGACATGCAAGTGACTCTTTATTGCAGTGAGTTTTACTGGAATTGCGAACATTTTTACGTCCTGTATATCATGGCATCCAAAGGAAGAGGAACAGTCATGGCCGCGAAAGTGAAGTGTATCTAATTAAACGAAGCGGGTT